TATTAGACAAGCTCCAAAGATTTCATACTCTTATCAAGTTCCCTTCTTTTTGTTCATGCTCTTCTTCCTGCCTGTTCACCCTTCCCTGCACAATGAAATGTTCTCATCCTTGAAGAACCAATTCGAAGATTATTAAGTTAAATTATGCTGGCCATCCTTTCCAGGATAGAATCCCTCTTTCCCTTCTTTGGGCCCCCAGGAAAACTTTCCATACTTCTATCCCAAAACTAAACCCACTGGATGATTGTTTGCTATACATAGCCTGTCTATCTTACTAAAGAGTGACCCCTTTTAGGACAGATGTCATGACTTATTTATTCCCATGCCATGTATAGAAAATTAATTCAATAAGCCATGTTTAAGTAATGACGGATTTGAAACGCCTTTACCAAAAAATCATATTACCTATTTCCAAGTACCCAAAACAAATTCCAAGATAAAGAGAAAAGTCTCATCTCCAACCACTTTGTCCTCTGAGAATCCTTTGGCTCCTTGGAAAGGCCAGCTTGCTCTGGACCATGAAGCTTTGGATGACTTTGTCAAACAGAAAGACACGGTAATAGAGCAGCTGTTTCTAAAAGCATTCCCTCCCATTTTCTGGGCCCCAGTTTCTAATCTTCTCAGTTTCCCAGATTTCCATAGACAATACTCCTCCCTGGGAGTTAATGAACACAAGTTTAAACCCCCTGAAACCTGGGTGTGAGTCTCAGATCTCTCTCTGTCTAGCTGTGCGATCTCGGGCAAGTCACTTCACATCTCTGAGCTCCATTTCTAGGCAGCCTTAGAGTGGAAGCAAGGATTTGCCACCCTAGGTAGGCCTTTTCACATGATGTCTACAGCAAATGCCTTAAAAGTAGAGGGAGCACTGAAGCAGGAGATAACCTACTTGGAGTTGTCCTATGAAATGAATCACATGAATCTGGAAGTTCTTGCTTGGCACACTCAACCACAGCTCTTTTTCAGGCATGACTTGAATTCCACGCCTACATTGTAGAGTGGAGCCTCTACAGACTGAGCAGTATGAGAAGGACAAAACAATTCAGAGGCAGCAGGAGATGAAATGTGTCCATAAGCAGGAATAAAACCAATGATTAAGAATTCTGTAGAGCCATCTAAAAGGGAGTCGGTGAAGAGCTTTCAGAATCTCAGATTTACTCCAGTAACAAGTAGAGAATTACTACCGTGAGATTTTAAAAGCTCTTGTAACTTTCCCAGGTTTGTAATTTTGTCACTCATTGGCTGTTTCCCTGGTGCAATTAACAGATTTTAAAAAATCATGAAACCATAAGTGTCTGTGTGCTTATAAGGAACAGCAAGTCAGTTGGGAGCTGGTGAAAGTGGCCTCTTGTTACCCTGCCAGAGAGACCTAAAAATGCAGGTGTGTGAGTAGGAATAATAGATGTGTGAAGAAGAAAGGAGATGGGGATAGGGCATAAGGACTATCGTTTACTAGCCAGTAATTAGGTACCAGGTATTTTTCTTATGCGTTTCCTCACTTAACAGTCCTATGAAATAAGTACTAATATCATCATCACTGTACGTTTTGGGGAAACTGAGATTTAGAGAAGAACAGAACAAATAACTCACCTGAGGATCTAAAAGAAAACAGAAACACAAAAATGGCAGAGCTGGGATATAAGCCTGAGCCTTCAGACTCCCCAGTGAGCTTTTTCAACCCCCACCCAGAGCTACCCTGGAGGCTGTGAGGATAAAAGACTAGAAAGAAAGGATCTGAGATGTTACTGAGGCAGTAAAAGAACGGAAGGCATAATCAATGGCAGACTTAATCCCAGGCCATCAGATTATGACTTCAGTGTCCCTCCCCAGTAGAGGGAACAAATTGGAACAAATTTGAGGGAGGGAACAAATTTGTCTTGAGGGAACAAATTGGAACCATTTCACAAATTCCTGCTGCCACGCAAGAAATGAAATGAACCCTCAGGCTGGATGGAATGCTTTGAGTTCCTAGGTACCTGGAGGGGTCAGAGTTTGCATTCTTCAAACAGACTCTTTAGCTCCGGGGTGGGGGGAGGGGAGAAACCTATGCAAGTTTTTATTGTTGTTTGTTTGTTTGTGTTTGAAAGATGGTTCCAAACCACTTGGAGCTTTGCAGAATTCTTGGAGAATCTAAAGATACGTCCTAGACTTTTCCCTCAGAAAAATGCATGTGCACATATGCACACATAATTATATATGTAATTTCAGGGGGTTCATACCACCCCCAGCCCGTCCACAGACAACTCCACCCAGGAGACCACAGACATTTAAAATTTTAAATCTCCGAGGCCTGGTGTGAGTCCCAGCTCTCCCTCTGCCCAGCTCTATGATCTTGGGTAAGTCACTCCACGTCTCTGAACTCCATTCTAGGGAGCCATGGAGTGGGGGCGAAGAACTATCACTCTGGGTAATGCTGACTTTAGGGAATAATAATTTTGACCAGATCTTCTTGAAGAATTGAAACCAGCTCTCATCCACGGAAGGCTTGCCCTCCAAAATTACATGAAGAAAGGAGGAAGGAATCAGGGATATTTGGCCAGGGAAAGAAACCCCACAGAGTCACGTGAGCTCTCTGAAAGGAGTTGAAAGCACTTTCAAGTGAATGAAGAAGTAGCACTTATCCTGACTTATTCTGTAAATGGCTCCAGACTGGGGAGTGAGGGGTGGGGAGAAGCAGCACAGTATGATGTCAGAATGGCAGCAGAGTTGAACAGACACGGGTTAAACCCGTGTCATCATTTACCAGATAAGTTATATAACCTTCATGAACTCTAAAATGGAGGTGATAATGGTATCTATCTCATAGGATTTTGTGAGAAGCCAGATGAAAGAATGCGCTTAACGTGAGCAGTATTGAAACAAAGAGAGACTTCAGTAGATGTCAGCTACTCTAATAAACTCTCTGACCCTCCATTTCTTTATCTCTAAAATAGGTATAATATCTGTACCTGATCAGAAGGTCACTATGAGATTTAAATAAGAAAATACACATTAAATACACTTAGTACAGCACCTAACACATAATTAAGTCTTCGGCAATAGAAAGTGCAATTATTGTTACAAATGTTTCATTACAACCGGTGGGATGAGAGTACAGTAAACGGAAAGAACACCACCATTTACTTCAAACAGGAAGGCAAGACAAAATAAAATAATATCTAAGAGCTTGGACTCAGAGCTAGACTTCCTGCATCAGGAACCTGAGAGCAGTGTGGCCTTGGAAAAGTTGCACAAAATAGGGGTATGAGCATCTGCTAAAAAGGAATTGAATGAAGTGGCCCATGAGAACAGCTTTGCACTGCACCACATATAATATGCGTTCAATAAGTCCTGGTTTCTTCCATAATGAGTAAAGGTTAAACAGAGATAGACCTTCTTACAGCAAGCTCCTTCTCAGCAATGCAGCCTCTAGATGTTGCTGCAAGCATTCTCTCTCCTCCAGGATTTATCAAGGAGGAGTAAAATAACAATTATCTGGGATATTACAGAAGAGGGTGAAACATCAAGATGACCTCTTGTTTCCTTGCAGTTGAATGTAAAATAGCCTGAGATTTAAATGGAATGAATGATAACATTTTAGAACTCCTTGCCCACTCTCCATCATTTTTCTCATTTCTACCTTCTCTTCTGCCAGGAAACAGCCCCCGCTTTTACCCCACGCCACAGACAAAGAAGGTTTGGATCTTTGGCATCTAGCTTCACCTAAGTTAACAACAACTAGTCCAAATTTCCCGTCTTCCCGCTGAATGAGGTAGCGCAAAAAAAAAAAAAAAAAAGCCAAAACTTTTCAACATTAGGTCACCCTTGCATTTCACCTTGATTTATAGTCTTCCTTCAAAATGTATCCTCTTTCCACTTACTCTTGCCCATCCTCTCCAATTCTATCTGCTGAGCCTTTGTGAGTGATGTTACACTGCCTCCTTCACAGAGTTACAGGACCATTGTTTGGCTAATAAACATATGGAAAGACACTCAAACGCCTTGTTAATCAACAAAAAATGAGACAACAAAAAATGAACAACAAAAAAATGGGACAGAATTTTCTTCTCAGGAGATTGAAAAAAAATTAAATAGATGGTCATATCAAGTATAGGGGAGATGTAGGAAAGCAGACACTGTGGGTGGGAAAATAAATTGGCAAAGCCTTTCCAGAAGACAATTTTGTAATGGTTAGTAAATTTAAAGTGTACATTTCTTTCAGCCTAGGATTTCTCCTTCTTAATCACCACCCTAGACCCTTAGACATAGACACTTAAGGAGGCTCTCACATACAAGGATGCCCCTGCAAACTACTTATGGTAATGAAATATTAGAACACCTCAATGTCCCTTCGTGGGCATTGGATATTATAAGTATCCACAGTATAAAATTCTATACAGCAATTTAACATAATGATATATATCTACATGGACTGGAAAGGAAAGTAGTCCAGTATATAATGTTAGGTAAATAAACAAAATACAGAAGGCTACATACAGTATAATAGAATTTTTTTTTAATTCACACAACAGAACAAAACTGCATATTTCTATACACACACATAAGCAAATAGAAAAAGATCTGGGAATGGTCCTCTTTAACTAATAGCAGTGATTATATCACAGGAAGGGCTGGGATTAAACACAGGGAGTCAAAGAGATTTTTTTCCTACTTTTTATGTATCCCTAACAAAAATACATTAGTGTAACATTTGTGTAATTTACAATAAATTACTAATTTTTTTTAAATGAATGGATGATTTTCTGGCAATTCTAGCTTCAAGACAGAAACAACTAAGGAAGAAGGGGAATCCCAACACAGGGGTTTCAGAAAAGAGGCAGAAGAGGGAAGAAGCAAACATGGCTGCTATTAGCTGGTTTCACTTTCCCAGCTTGTGGGAAGATGTAGGATGTGACCACAGTGGAACCAAAATAGCCAAATCCCAAGACAAACAGGCAGATGGCAGGTGACAGATTGTTCCCACGGTCAAAGACAAAATCACCCTCACGAGCACAGCCCCTTACCTCTTGGCTGAGGAAAAGTCACTGACTCACTCATTTCCCACATTGATGTCTGGGACGTTGACTGGAGACCCCAACCTTCAGATTCTGAAAAAAACAAAACAAAACAAAACAAAAACAAAACAAAAACAAAACAAAACAAAAACAAAGGAAAAGAGAAAACAAACTTAGGTAAAAACTTGTCTTTTTTATTTTTGGTGCCCCACTGTCCCCTAAACTAACTTTTGTCATAAAAAAAATAAAAGTAGAATGGGGCGCCTGAGTGGCTCAGTTGGTTGAGCATCTGACAGCTCAGAGCTTGGAGCCTGCTTCAGATTCTGTGTCTCCCTCTCTCTCTGCCCCTCCACCACTCATGCTCTGTCTCTCTCTCTGTCAAAAATAAATAAACGTTAAAAAAATATCTTTTTTAAATAAAAAATAATAATAAAAGAAGAAGAAGAAGAAGAAGAGCTAATGTTTACAGAGCATTCAGTTCATGCTGTTCTAAGTGATCTACAAGTATCCTCTCATTTAATCTTCAGAAAGAGACACAGGATAGGTGTTATTATTATTCCCATTTTATCAATGAGGAAGCCAAGACCCAAAGAGGTTAAATAACTTTCCCAGAGTCATACAACAGTTAAGAAGTGGGTCTTGTACCCAGGCAGTGTAACACCAGAGCACACACCCTGTGCCATACTGCCTCCCTATATTGTACTAACACAAGAACAGATTCATTTATTTACCCCATAGATATCTGTTTTCTTCTACTTGACTATAAGCCCCATTAAGTAAAATTTGCCATTTGAGCACTTACTAACATGCCAGGCACTCACCTAAGGCCATTATATCCATGAAGTTATTCAACTCTCCAACTCACCTGGGAAATCAGCCAAGGCCAGAAACCCCTGGCAAAAAGGAATAAAACAGAGAGCCCAGCCTGGGCACTTCTCTCTAGCAACCCCCATGGATGTAAATCGTGCCTTATTTTAGGGTATTCTCTGCCCTTGGACCCCTATTAAATACCTAAAGAACTCTTGATTGATGAAAGATCACATGAATGAATTTCTCTACTACAGAAAGCCAATGATCAAGTGAGGACGTCCCTCAAGGAAGTCAACAAAGATCATTGTACTGGGAATTAGGATGAGACGGCTAAGCACTGCCTCACCTGGAATGGAAAGGCAAATATTCCAGAAATGTGCTACCATAAGGAGTTGCTTAAACAAATCAAGGTCAGTCTCTCTCCCCACCCCTCTTTCTCTCTCAAAGCCACAAGAATGAATGAACCACAAATGTGGTCCAATTTGTCCTAGATAGGGTTCATGGCACACAGGACCCAAAATTCATCTTCAGTTATCTCATTCAATAGCATTTTACTCTCCTCAACCTAAGAAATGAGGAAAAGAAAGAGAAAGAAAGTGTCTTCATACCTCTGGATGTAAGCAAGGCAATGTTTCCAGAGGTCACCTCGGTGCTTCTCTCAGAGTCACTGGAGAGAAAGAAACTTTCTGATTCTGGAATATAAAAAAAGTTTGATAAAAGAGAGCTGCAAAAATAAGTGTTTGTGCCGAGTGGTGGGATCCAGGGCTATTTTTATACTTGTCTTTGCGCCTTTTTATATATTTCAGGTTTTCTTCAAGGATTGCAAGTAATTTTTTAGGATCAAGAAAACTACAAATGTCATAGTTTAAGGTGATTATTTTAAACACCAAAAACAATTAAAAATACATACAAAAATTGGCTGGTTTATGGTTCATGAACTTTAGGTGACAACCCAGAGTATAACAGAATTAGCTGATTCAATATTATAAAGCTATTTAAATTATCCAGGCCTTACTGAGGCAGCTGAGACAGCTAAGAAAGCCTTCACACTATCTCTTAATGAGTTTCCAACAGCATTACCTTGGTATCAGAGGTTGAAACATGGTGGGCACTTTGATAAGCCCTATAAGTAATGAAGCTAGTAAGTCAGTGAGGGTCCAAGATGGAGGATCAAAAACGACTTGGGGGGGGAGGGGCAGGAAGGAAAGAAAAAGAAAAGAATGGAAGGGAGGGAGGAAGGGATTGAGAGAAGAAGGGAAGGAAAGAGGAAGGAAGAAACAAAGGTAGAACTAGTTCATCATCAAGGGATATTTTAAGGCATCTGGAGGCCTTTCCTCAACCAATCTCTAATGCCAAGGCAGAGACTTAACCCCTAGAAGAATAAAACTGGGGTCTGACCTCAGGTGACATATCCTAGCTGTTGCATAAATATCTCTAAGATTCCTGGAAGGTCAACTGGAGAACCAAAAAATCTGACTTTCAAAAAACAGAAAAAATAGGGGGCAAAAAAGGAAACCATAAAACAAAGAAAAGGAACAGATTGATGAAACCACATCCTCACTCACACACACGCACATACATACAGTTATAAACTGAACTATATTCCCCAAAATTCATATGTTGAAATTCTAACCCCCAATACAGGAAATTGTGCCCTTATTTGGAGAAAGAAATAATTAAGTAAAATGAAGTTATATGGATGGACCCTAATTCAATATGACTGGTGTCCTTATGAGAAGATAAGATTAGGACAGAGACACAGAGGGAAGACCATGTGAAGACACAGAAAGAAGGTAGCCATTTATAAGCCAAGAAATCAGTCGTACTGACACCTTTGTCTCATACTTCTAGCCTCCAGAATTATGAGAAAATAAATTTCTGTTGTTTAAGCCCCCTGCTCTGTGGCATTTGTTATGACAACCCTAGCAAACCAGAATGCACACACACAAGGGCAAGTCTCTGAACTGCCCCATTAAGTAAAAGAACCCTGTTGCAAGGGACCCAAGATATATCTGACCAGCAGAAGGGAAAGAATGGCCAAATGTACCATGTACCTGTAGTGAAGGTGGGTGCTCCCATTGAAGGCTCAGTGGTCTCAAGAACTGGGGTTGCTTCAGGAAGAAAGGTTGATATTGTTGGGGGGCATGTGGTTGCCACAGCTGTGAGGGTAGTCTGAAGTGGTGTTCTGGTTGTGAGTTCAGGTGTAGTCACAGCTGTTGTTGGAAGCACAGCTATGGTTGTCGTCATGGCAGTAGTGGTTGTTGGGCGCTTGGTTGTTGGAGCTGTAACCGATATAAGATACATTGTACAAATATATGTGGGATCTGTCCATTTCTCTGTTTCTGCTGCCCTCACCTGGTCCACTGGCCTGGACCACTGGAATGCCCATGAAAGTTGGGTTTCTTGCCCCTACTCTTGACCTTTCCGATATGTTTTTTACACATTGGCTAGAACAATCTTTTAAAATGACAAATAATTATGTTGGTCCCTGCTTAAAAGATTTTACTGGGTCCTCCTTGCCCTTGAGATAAAGGACCCAACCCCAAAGTTGGCCCACAAAAATTCCACTTGATCTGGCTCTTTCTTTACAATCTCAGGTCTCCACTTTACTCTTCTCACTTGTCTCCAGCCCACTGGCTTTTCTTCACCTCTCTAAACAGGGATCTCACACTGGAGGGACTTCGTACCTGTTGCTTCCGAGACTCTCTCTTCATTAGGCTGACTCCTACTGAACCCTCATGTCTCAGCTAAAAGGACACTGTTGTAAGGAGGTCACACATATTCTGCAATCAATTAGGTTTCTGGGTTTTGCACTCTATACTTTACCTTCACTTTTATTTTATGATTATGGTTTAACACCTGCTTCTCCCACCAGACTGTAAGCTCCATAAGGGAAAATCTGCTATTTATTTTGTTCTCTGCTACAAATCTAATACCTACCACAATGTTGGGCACATGGTAGATATTCCAAAAAGATTCCATAAGTGAGCAAATGAACAATTGCATCAAAAGTGAGCCCAAACATGAAATTTTAGTCAAGCAAGATGAAGAAGCTCAAGTTCTGTTGTACAACTCATACCTAAAGTTAACAATAATAAGTTGTATACTTGAAAATTTGTTAAGTGAGCAGAACTCACCATAGGTGCTCTTTCCACAATGAAATAAAATTAAAATCTGTAATAAAAATGAATCCAAGGTATTCAACATGGGATGAGAATGTAGTCTCTTTCATATATTAATGACAAGTTCATGCCGACACCACTCACCCCCTAACATTTGAGTTTGGGTTCATCAGCCACAGTTATTCTACATATGCTACCATCTCTTAAATATGTCAAATTTTGATTAACTCTAATAGATTTCAGTGAGCTTAGAAATGACCCATAGATACTGAGTTCAACAAGTATTTTATAAAATAATAGCTGGTTATATCAGGCTTGAAAGTAGAAGACTTGGATTAGCCTCATTTAACTTTAATAAAACTTCAGTAAATCAGAAAAATACCTTTTCTATCACAAAGTCACTTTTAAAGAAAAATATACTAAAGTATATGAAAGTTCTGAAATAAGAAGCATCCACATAAGTCATTCCCAAATTTTAGAGTGCATTGGTGTCACCTGAGAATTCTGTTAAACTTGTGGCTATAAGCATATGATCCGGCCTTCCAAGATGCCTACCCAGTCAGGAACAAAGCACAAGAATCCCCCATCTTTTTTTTTTTTAAGTTTATTTATTTATTTTGAGAGAGACGGAGAGAGTGTGAGTGGGGGAGGGGCAGAGAGAGAGAGAGAATCCCAAGCAGGCTCCATCCTGGCAGTGCAGAGCTGATGTAGGGTTTGAACTCACAAAACCATGAGATCATGACCTGAGCCAAAACCAAGAGTTGGACTTTCAGCTGACTGAGCCACTGAGGTGCCCCGATAACCCTCCATCTTTGATGCAGTTTGAACATAGAGCTTACTCTGAGAGACACCATTCCCAACAAGCAGGAAAGGTGATTACTGTTAGCATAATTCAACCAGAGGCTGCCTTCTTCTATGCAGCTCAAATCTTTAAGAATCCCACCATATTCCAGTTTCATCAAAAGCAACTGACAGTAACAGACGGAAAGGCCACCTGAAAACTGCTGTGATTGTCTCCAAGTCTCATGCCCTTTCCCCTTTGCTGGAAGTTGCAAACTTTGGCTTATGGGCTGAAGCTGACCCATGGACACATTTTATTTAATTTATATGGTATTTTTTAAAAAATCTTTGCCAACATATAAAAATCAATGTCATACACGTAAAAATTGCGGAATCTGAAAACACTGTGCACAAAGCAACAATCTCGTAATAAGAAGCAGATGTCTTTTGCAGACTGACCCTCCAATTCACTGGTTCCCTTCCCATGCACACCCCACCCATTCATTGCTGTGGTCTTCTTGGCCCCCATGGGTATTTGCTCCATACTGTGCCTCCTCTAGTCATAGCAACACATCTTAAAATTAATCTGCCCCCTCGTGCTTAAGCACCTACAACCTCCCCAACACCACCCAGTACATCCATTCCCCATTAACTGTTGAATCTATCCTTCCACAGACACAAGCCCCTTCATGTACACACCTCTCCTCAGCTGCAGGCGAATGTTCTTTTTCACGTCATTGAACCAGCCAGGGACCTCTATGCGGCAGCAGTATACACTGTTGTCACCTTCGTTGGTGTTCAAGATGGTCAAGGAGACATCGCCTTGTCGGATATTGCCCTGAAGTTCATATTTTGATGACTTCCTGGACAACACCGTCATCCCATCAGTGTGGAGAAGCTCATTGTTGCACTTGGATTTGGGACACGGGCCCTTGCCCCAGCACATGCTGTTGCTGTTTTCAGACCAGGATGAGTACTTACAGGGCAAGGTCACCGACTGACCCAAAAACCCTCTCACAGTGTCTGGTGCAGCTAGAACTGTGAGGAAAGATGAGAAAAATTAAGGCTGTGCAGTACTAAAATCTCTCAAATATATTGCATGATGTTTGTGCAGCTAAAATGCTTCCAGGAAGATGAGAAGAGTCATTATGTATATTTTTTAGCCTAAATTCTGATGTGCCCTTAGCCACTGCTGAGTCCCTAACTCCACACCCTTTTGTCTCCCAGTTACAGATAGCTGACCCACCTCATGGTCTGAACTCATCTCCATAACAAGCCCTTTGTGCTGATTTAAAAACTCTGTTCTTGAGTACCATTCCAATAAGCCAAAAACTTTTCCAATGAAAAATCCAACTCTTTAATCTAATTCCACTAACTCATGTAAACACATCCAGAACTAGCACTCTACCCAGTGTATCCTCAATAAACAGGCCATGTACTGCTGACCTGACTGCTTGGGACTCCCTCCATTTTCAAACCCAGAGAATGCTGTGGCAGTAAGATAGGCTGTTGAACTACGTTCCATTGTCCTTCTCTCCTTTCAGTACTGGATCTAGAAATTGATTGCTCTGGACCATTTATTTGTTGCTAGAGAACATGAAGTTAGGTGGAGTTTGAACACTTTTTTAATGTTAAAACTGGAAAGAACCACAAGAATTAGAAAGAATGGCACCTATGCATAGAAAAATGCCAAGGGTTAGTTTTACTATATTAGTTGTGTGAGATGGAAGGTATCGCTATTTCTGAAATGAAGCAGTCCTATTTCCCAGCTTTGCCTGCTCATCAGCATGACCTGGGGAAGGTGTTGAAAGTGCAAATTTTATTGCCCAACCCTGAATCAGAATGTTTGAAGCCAAGGCCCATGGAAATTCTCCAGGTCATTCTGATATCACTTGCTAGTCACCCAGGATTTGAGGACCAGTGGACAAGCTCTTCTAAGATTACTTCCATAGCTAAGAATCTGCGAAACATTTTCATTGCTGCAAATGTTAAGCCCACTGGGTTAATTGAGCATCAACAATTGTTCTAACGATTGCTGGTTCTAACCCTCCACTCCCAAAAAATGCTACTGAAGACAGGCTGAAGCTCCATATCATCAGGACTCCACCTGCTTTCTCTAGGGTACGTAGGTCCTGCTTTGTTTTCTCCAAGGTACCTTCCTGTGAGATTCTACATTCACTGACCTTGTTGGCCCATTGGGCTAAGTTGTATAGCACATGGCCAAGAGTACCAGGTTCCTCTCTGACCCAGGTATCAGGAATGTCCCCATAACCCTCTCTAAAATAAGGTAAGCACAAACCAAATTCAGACACGCCCTGAAATTTCAGACCCTGAAATCACAGTTTATTCATTTCATTGTAGTAGGAATGTTTCAGTGACCATAAATGCTCTAGAAGTCCATTTAGCCTACCATGAAACAAGGAAAAATAAATACATAAGAAATTCACTGTCATCACCTTCAGCTCTATTACCAACAGAACATATGCACCTAAAACTAGCAACTTTCTCAATATGAGCTTATTCCTATGAATGTTTGGAAAATTAATTAAAAATATATGCAGGAATTATTTCTGCTGGAGATTAAACAGTTTGTTTTTCCAGTATCATACTATAGAAAGAGGCATCCTACTACTCAGTAAGAAAACACCCAATATAAACATTGACAGAAGACATAACAGGCATAGATAAAGAAATACAAGAAGCCAGTAAATTTCATCTGTAAGACTGGCAAAAATTTAGAATGCCAATAATATCAAAGTTGGCCAGACAGGGACTCAGGAAATGACATAGACTATTGGAGTACACTGGAATGAAATGGGAGTTTAATTGGTATAGCCACACTGTGAGGCAATTTGGCAGTTTCCATTAATATTGAGCATGCGTGTATCCTAGCTAAGCCTTAGCAATTCCGTGCTTTGTTATCTACCCTACAAAAAGACATGTGCACAGGGAAATCTGTTTGCAAAAGTTTGCTGCAGCTTTCATATATATGTGAATGAAGTGAACAATGTACGTGGGGAACAGCAAAACTATGGCATATGCATTCCCTGTAAACATAATGAATCATTCATTCCATGCAATCATTCCAAGGTTATTAGAAGTAAATCTTTATCAGTTGACATGAAAACTCCAAGCCTTATTAATGTATGAAAAGGACAAATTCAAAACAACACATAAAATACAAAACCATCTTATAAAACAAATAAAACAGTTTGCATTTTTTTTTTTTTTTTTTTTTTTTTTTTTTTTTTTTTTGTCTGTGGGCACAGACATATGAAGGTATATGCATAGAAAAGTGTCTGGTGGGATATACACCCAACTCACTGTTCCAGTCGCCTTTGCCATCAGAGGAAAGGAACTGGAGAAGGAGAGAGTAGTCAAAGGGATTTTAGCTTTATGATGCTGTTATTTTTTTCACCTGGGGTGTTTCTGTATTACTGACTGGATTAAAAATTAATATTTAAAAAAAGGAAGCAGGCAATTTGGTGTGGCAGAAAAACACCCATTAGGCTACAGCGTAAACTTCATTCTGCTAGTTACTGCTTTTGTGTTCTTGGGGGAAAGCCACAATAATCCTGACCTCATTATCATTGAAAGCAAGGGGGATATATAATACTTGCTTCAGAAGTATTTTGGAGGTTTATATGCAATGAAGTATCAAATGCCACATGAAATTAATAAAGTATTAGTACAAGTAACCAAGCATTTCAGAATTTAGAAATAGGACAAGAAGCTCTTCCCTGCTGGTACAAAAGTATCTTGGAGCAGAAGAATCACTGATAATCAAATTCCCTTTTTGGGAATTACCTAGGACGGTAGGTACAACCTAGGTTCTGTTGCCAGCTTTGTTCCTCCTCCAGGTGGTGACCTCAGGAAAGGCCCCTTCCCCAGTCAGGGTCTCATTTTCACTATTTACTGAGGAAAGGGTTTCATTCTGCATCTTTTAAGAGCATATCCAGTCCTGATTGATCCTTGCTGATTCTGAGCAATCACTCTCTTCTAAATTGGTCACTTTAGAAAAAGTACAAATGAAAAATGAACAAAAGACAGTTCTCTAGGTGCTGCTTCCTTCACATAGGATTGGAGAAGCCTACCCCATCAGTGTCCAGCCAGGAGCGGGAACATAGACTCCAGCAACCTTCAACACAACGTAAACCTCCACACCTCAACTACTCAGGACAAGATAAAGACCACTGAAAACACTGATAAAGAAAGTGACAGGGATTGCCTTCATTCCATTAATTCCTACAGAGTATCTAGGAAGAGAGACAGTTAAATGATCAATTACTACAGGGTGACAAGTTCTCTGATGGATGACTTCATGGAAGATAGGAATTCATAGCAGAAACACCTCAGCCCGTCCAGAGGCTCAGAGTGCTCAGGAAAAGCCTGACTTGGGTGGAGACCTGATAATGCATGTAGTTACCGAGAAAAGAAAGGCAGGATGAAAAACAGCATGGCAAAGGTTTGAAGGGTAGAGAGAACACATTTGTTTTCCTTGGAATGGAAGTGCTTTTGAGGGCAGCACACTTGAGAGATCATTTGCAAATAGCTACTAACTTTGAAAACTGCTAGGGATATTAGATACTGTCTAGTTCTAGAATCGTGGATTGTTCAAACTGGTCTTATCTGGCTCCCTCATTTCATACATAGAAGAGCCAGAGCAATTTAGACATGTTTCCATTGTTAATGACTAGTGACTGAGACCACTGCAGCTCAGTGAGGAGCATTTTGCCCAAGGCTGCCAGGACACAGAAGTCTAAACTGGCCCAGAATGAGTGTGTACACTTGCATCACCCAAAACTTGGACACAACAAACCTCACCTTCTGGTGAGGGATGAAGCGTCATACCCAGCAAAAGAAGACAAACAAAAAGCAAACCAAAACCACTGAAAATAAAGAGGAAAATACAAATTATAATAAGAGCTCTGCAGAAGAATTCCCCTGGCTCCAACTATGCTAATAACACCTGCAGAGGAAATTTCTTTTCCCCATTTCATCTGACCCTTTATTTTGTGTTTCTTCTTAAGTTGTCATTTCTGATTTGAATACAAATTAGCCCACTGTAAAACTCTAAAACCAGTCTCAGGATAAAACCCTATGTAACTAGAAAGGCAGAGACCCTCCAAAGAAAAAAATCTGGAAGGAATCAAGAATGAAGCAGGCTTCTGCTCTACTGAGGCCTGATCGGCTGTGAAAATCTATCACAGGATGCCAAGCTCTCCAGGGACTCCTGCATGGAAGGATTCAGAACACTTACTCAGAGAAAGCCGCCCAAGTTCAATCAGCAGCCAGAGAATAAGAGGCCCTTTGGACATTTTGACTGTTGGCAGGCCCCAGGAGTCAGTCTGTCTGTCCAAAGTCCATTTCTTATACTCTGGTTAGTGCTGACAGGGCAGGACCTTTTAGTTTCATTTCTCTTTCTGCCTCATAACCTTCCCTTTCCTCCCTCCTGAATAGTCTCCCTCAAGAGATGTATGATAAAATGTGCTGAGCTCTTTCTCCTGACCACCAGTGTATGTGGAAATGTGTGGACTGATAGTGAGGTTGCACCTGTATTCCTTTGTCCATACATATCAAAGGATTTCCTACCCTGTGTGTTAGCATCCATGCATGTGCTTGTGTGTATGTGCATGTGTAAGCTGTGAATGAGCTACAGTCCTTCCCACTCCTGTGCAGCTTGTAGTAAAATGCAATGAACTCACTTCATTGGCTGCTATTTAAACATGGACTCCTCATAGGGGCCAAAGAAAAGTTAGACTGGAAATGGGCTCTGCTCCCTTTACCTGGTTCACCTGGTTCTCCATCACCTGGAACTTTGGCCCCTTTACTCTGATAACTGACAAACAAAAGCAATCAACCATCACATAAGACAAAATCACCATACGAATTTACTAGACAAGGAAAGAAGAATTCAATAGAGGAAGCACAGGACATGCTCAGGTAACAAACAAGCCCAAGGTCAAGACCCAGTTCTACCAGTTTTTAGTGAAGTCTTCATCACCTAATGATGAAGCATAAAAGATAGCTCATGAACCAGACTATAAGGCTTGGGTGAGATGATAGACCTCTGGACTCTATAGCTTTAGTGATCTATCCAAGACCACAGAACCAGTTAGAGGAGGAATCAAATCAAACAGATATGTTTTCTAACATAGATTTAGGTCATCATCATTGGTTACTGAATGTTTAGTTATATTCCAGGCACTCTACTACATGATACAGATGTATTATTTAATTCTCACAACACTAAGAAATAGGTATTTTTTCCCATTTAACAGACGAGGGAATGGAGGCTTAAGGGGGCTACATAAATGACATTGACAGTCAAGAAGGTGAAAACATGACTCAAGCCCAAGTGTCCCTGATCCCAAAATCCATGCTCTTGATCATGACACCCTCCTTCAACCTGTGGTCCTTGGGGAACCACAGCTATGAGACATACCATACCAGTGGCGGCCAAATTATACCCAGCTCCAGAGAGGGAATTTGAGGATGCACAAATGCTCTAGATTTAAGAAAAAAATCCTCATTTGATTGTAACCAGCCAAATGAGTCTCAGACCTTCAACATTGCTCATAGTAAAAGTATTGGTGAAAATACAATACTGGATGAGTCTCTGCACTCAGAGAATCTAGTAAAACAGGGGGAAGGGATGAAAATAGAAGGATTCAGAGAAAATGTTCCCACTGACTACCCACTGAACTGTGGGATCCTCTTCCTAGGAAGCTGGGAGAGTTAGTCTCTGGACAAATAGGATAGCCCTAATAAACCACTTACAGATATTGATATTTAGGTGCTCCCCGTTAATACCAACACAATTCCCCTTCAATAAAGCTACCAGTTCATGAGCCTCAGTCATGTATGCAGCATTCCTAATTAGTTTTTAGTATGTCTTTTAAATATGAATAGGCAACTAAGGATCAGAGACATTTGGGGAAATATTCAATATGAAAAAGATACAAAGACAACACCCAAGATGACTTTGTACTCACATGTCTAGGAAATTGATGGGATGACTAGAAGACCTAGTGGCTGGACAGGTACCCCTGTGCCTCCACATGGCCTTTCCACAGGCATCTTGGGCTTCCTTCAGTATAGCAGTCTCAAAGTAAATGAGTTTCTTACACAGTATATGGTTTTCTCAAAAGTGAGCATTCCTCAGGGCTCCTGGGTGGCTCAGTCGGTTGAGTGTTTGACTTCAGCTCAGGTCATGATCTCACAGTCCATGAGTTCGAGCCCCATGTCAGGCTCTGTGCTGACAGCTCAGAGCCTGGAGCCTGCTTCGGATTCTGTGTCTCCCTCTCTCTGACCCTCCCCCATTCATGCTCTGTCTCTCTCTGTCTCAAAAATAAATAAAAACATTTAAAAAAAAAAGTGAGCATTCTGACAGACTCAGGAAGAACGGGCAAAGGTTATGACCTAAACTGACATGTGATTCAGTATTATTTCCACTGCATTCTATTGGTCAAGAAGAAGGCCATCCCAGGGGTGCCTGGGTGGCTTGGTTGGTTAAGCATCCAACTTTTGATTTCAGCTCAGGTCATGATATGAGATTGAGCCCTGCGTAGGGCCCTGTGCTGAAACTGCAGAATCTGCTTGGGATTCTCTCTCTCTATCCCTACACCTCCCCTGCTCCTCCACTCACATGCACTCTCTATCAAATAAATAAACATTTAAAAAAATAGAAGGCCATCCTGGATTCAAGTAGAAGGAACAATACAAGGGTGCGAATAGCAGGAAGTTCATTGGAGGTGAAGGGGAAGCATCTTTGCAGACTTGTTACCACAACAAGCAAACCAGGCTGGAGCAAAAGGACAGAGGAGTAAGGCTGGCGGTGATAGTGGTGAGTGTAACTGATAGATTATCTCATGCATTTAGGTATTTTGAAAATAGATCAAGTTGGTCTTTGATAGAAAGGGCTTGAATCATTTAAGATGAATTTTGATAAACACTTGGGAAATTAAGAAAAGGAAAACAGTAGACAATTATTACAATCAGGAAACACTAAATATTGTACATGAAAGAATATGAAATTACAGTACATTTGCTCAATTGGAAAGATAGTTGTACAGTCATGATAATGTAAACTCTAGCTACTAGTTTAACATAAAATTGTGATAGAAGTATATTGGGAAGATGGGCAGAGAGGAAGGGGAATGGGAGTACTCACCCTTCAGGAGGTCAATAGACGGTAATCAAAATGGTCAATCAAACAGTAACAGTAAAAGCACATTATTAGTAATATGGAAGGAAAAAAAAACAGAAGAAAAAAACTCAAAAGAGTTTACATTTTATGGGAAGGAATAGGAAAGGTATTGGCTGTTTTTTTTAGTTATAAGCCTTTTATAATAATTTTACTTTAAAAAATGTGTATATTAAGCACATCTCACATCTAGATCTTAGTTTCTAAACACCACTCACCAATAAAAGGAACCGGGCTCCTTGGAGAAATGTCTGGTTCTAGGACTGGGGCAGGAAATACTTAAAATGAGTCTGGAGCATCTTGTGCTAGAAAGTGAAAGTGCTCAAAAAGTAAATAAAAAGTAAAATCCACAATGATGTGATTGTTAAATGGACACAGGAGGCAACCAAAAAAGCTACCAATGACCAAAGCAGGAACAACCCAAGCAACAAAATAAACTAGAACTGGATTATAACCCAAAGTATAAAATAAATGTTGATACTGATACAGTGATCAAATCAATAAATAAGCGAGGAAGGAGAGACAAATCTTCTGTCCAAAAACATTCCAAATAATTTATGTAGTTACTTCCTCCTCAAAGGAAAGGTAGAACATAACTCCTATCCTTAATTGTAGGCTGAACACAGTGACTTCCTTTCCAAACTTCCAGTAAAGACAGTAAGAACAACAACTAACTTTACAGTGGAGAGATCTGGCAAACACTACCTCTTGCAGGTGATCAAGGCCAGCATCAACAGAGACAAGTCATGTTGATGGTTTGCACCCTTGACATGATGTGGTATAAATGATACTTTACCCGTGTGGTAAATTCTTCTTCCCAAGAAACATCATCCCAGTACAATCATGAGAAAACCATCAAACACAGCCAAACTGAGGCAGATTCTACAAAATATTTGACAAATACTTGTCAAAATGTCCAATGTCATGGGGCTCCTGGGTGGCTCAGTCATTTAAGCATCCAACTCTTGATTTCAGCTCAGATCATGATCTCACAGTTTGTGAGATTGAGCCACGTGTTGGGCTCTGAGTTGATAGCACAAAGCCTGCTTGGGATTCTGTTACTCCCCCTCTCTCTCCATCCCTTCCCTACTCTCTCCTGTGCATGCTCTCTCTCTTTCTCTCTCTTTCTCTTTCAAAATAAATTTTAAAAATCTTAAAAAAATCTGCCAAGGTCATTAAAAAACCAAGGGAAAATCTGAAAAAATGTTACAGCCAAGAGGAACCTCAGGAGACATGACAACTAAATGTAATGTGGTATCCTAAATAGGCTCCTGGAAGAGAAAAAGGCCTTTAGGTGAAAATTAAGAAAATTTTGGACTTTGGTCAATAGTATTAATAGTATTAATATTGGCTTATTAACTGTTACAAGTATACCATTACCATAATGTAAGATGTTAATAATAGGGGAAACTAAGTGTGGGGTGTATGGGAACTATCTGTACAATCTTCATCATTTTTCTGTAAACCTAAGGCTATTCTAAAATAAAGCATTTTGAATGCACATATGCTTTTATTTTAGAAATGCAAATTTTAATAATAATTTAGTATCTGTAAGGGGTCACACACTGGAACGAGAGGCTAAGCTTGGTTATCCTCTCTTCCTAAGTTAGGGTCCCTAGACGGTCTTCATCCTAATATTGGATGCTCAATTTGTATTACTGTATTAAAGTATATTATTCTTCAGAGAGGGCCATAGCAGTTTTAGGTAATTCATGTCTTTACCACCTTCCTCTACATATGGAGGTTTGCACCTGGAGAGCCGGTCCTCCCTCATTTTTAGTCAGTGCAGTTTAGATGGTATTGATTTCATTCATGGCCATGGTGTTTGGATCAAGGATGAACAATTGATCTGAATAAAGCCAAGGATACACAACCTTGACACATTTACTAGAATTTTTGAGTTCTAGTTCCCTATTTTCCACTGATTTTTCAGCTATAAGGATATGGGCCTGGATCCAAAGTTATCCATTATGCCACTAATGGGTGAAGCCTGCCTGATGAGAGAACCAATTAGGCAGAAGGCAAGTGGAGAAATAGAGAATCCTAGGTCCTTGACAAGGTTTGAACCTCTGAAACAAGACACGTCAATGTGCCAACAAATGTCCTTTTGAA